CTACAAGTACTATTGTATAAATACAGCTCTACAACATACAGATAGATTGACATAGTATGTCACTTGCCAGATTTCAAACAATTTGATCAGCAGAATTTTTCTCTTTTAAGGGCTTATTGTGGGTCTCTGTCACCATCGTGTGTTTGGAAAAAGCAACCGTCTTTGCTCTGCTACAAAACAAATACATTCTCACCTAAAAAAGCCCCAAAAGTACATTATGTTGTCCAACAGCTGCAATAATTGTCAAACTGTTGTCCACCGCTTACCACACATGTAGGCGAAGTAATACACAAGAGTAAAGAGGCTGTAGGAGTTTTGATATTGCAGAATATCCCACGGCTATCAGCCAATCAGATTCAAGAACCAGACAGAAATATAAATATATATACACACACACACACACACACACACACACACACACACACACACACACACACACACATATATATATATACACAAATATAAGGGCTGCAAAATATATCTTTTCAGCATCAATATCGCAATCTGCACAACCAGAATAGTCATATCGCAAAGATGTGCAAAGGAGTTACAGAATTGTAATTGATCACTATATTTATATTGAATTTTTAAAACTTATGCAAAAACAATGACAAAAAAATTCTTATTTAGAATTTTGATCTTTGTTTCTAGTAAAAAAAATATCTACATTTTGCAAAAACAACATTATTTAACTTCCCCCAATGGCAGATAATTTAGCTTGTGTTGGGGAAAATAGCAATGCATTTTGCAACAGCATGCATGGCATCACTCAATAGAATGTTCCATTGCCCAACAACAGCCCCGCATTTCCGCCGTTTTGGAGTGAAAGAGATCGGCTGTCCATTGGATCTTACTGCTGTTGCAATGCTTTTGTAATGAATGTCAATAACCGAATCATTCTCCAAAGGCATATGAGGAATAACATCTGAGATGAAGTAGATACTTCAAAGCAAATGAAATATTTCCATTAAGTGAATGAGCAATATTTTTTTCCTCTGAGTGCACCGATGCAATCTGAACTGTATATAAACACTATCAAGCATGTCCACAAACACAAACAGGAGGAATAGGGTATTAGTCAGATCCTATATTGTAGAAAGTGACTGTTTTCCCCTGCAGACGCCTCTTCCCCTTCCCTCAAGTGTTAATAAAATGACGTGAGGACCCGTCTGCTGTGCAGGCAGCGTGAATTCACAGTCGGAGAGAACCGATGAACCACCACGGGTGTTTTTCCCTCACTGTGTTCATGTACAGATGTCTAAGTGTGTTCAAATGCGAATTTGCTTTGCGTCTGTGAATCACAAATGCAGCTGTTCATCTCTTTCTCCTGTGTAAACATGTTGTTTGTGTTAATATTTGTCTCGGAATGAGTCGGGAGGCGAGCGCACGCACATGAGGGAATGGCAACCACTGTGGCAATAGTTCAGCTTGTTGATATATGGTTATAGCCATTCACAGAGAGCCAATTAGGTCTCCTCTGTTTGGAATCCCATAATGCCCTTCTCTCCAAAGATGCTTCATCCAGCGCAGATAAAGCTGGAAACAGAATTTTCAATAAGAGCCTTGTTTACTCACTCAAGCCCAGAAAATGACCAATGTTCTTGTGTTTTGTTCATCTCACGCAGACGACAAGACTATTTTTTATGGATCCATTGATCATCATCTTCTCAGTTCTCAAAGGCTCATTCTTACAAGCACATCTTGTAGGAACAAGCGTTTTTTTTAATGGCTGTTCACATTAAATTTCACCCACAGATGTGTTCAAAAGTGAATTTGCTTTTGGATCTGTGAATCGTTAATGCAGGAGTTTATCTCTTTCTTTTGTGTAAACATGCTGTTTTTGTTAATGTTTGTGTCTGTAACTGTGAGTTAGGATGCGAGCATTTGTTCATGTGGGAAAGGGAACCGCAGTGGCAATAGTTCAGCTTGGCTGCAGGGTTTGTGATATATGGTTATGACCATTCATTGAGAGCCAATTAGGCCTCTTCTGTGTGGAATACCATAATGCACTTCTCTCCATTGCTGCCTTATCCAATCGAGATTAATCTGGAAACTGAATTTCCAAATAAAAGCCTTGTTTACTCACTCAAGCAACTGAAATGACCAATGTTCTTTTCTTCTGTTTGTTTTATGCAGACTTCAAACCATTTTCTATGGATTCATTGATTGCCATCTACTCAGTCCACAAGGCTCATTTCTACTAACACATCGTTTTTTTTATCTTTGTTTTTCTTCATCGTGTTTGCATAAGATTGTACATAAAGATGCCCAAGGGTCAGTTTTCATAATGTTTTCAGACAAAAACTGGAAACTTTTATTTGCTGTCGTGTTTACACGACAAGACTGTTTTTCAGTCACAACACTGTTGTTGTGACTGGAAATGACTGGAAACAGGTTTCAAAGTATAAGTTTTGAAAACGTTGCCGTTGTCATGTCCATGTAAACACCTGAAAATCTTACAAGGGCAAACTCTTTTTCTAATGACATAGACAGATGAATTGTTCATCACAAAATTAGCAATGTAAGCTAAGAAAAATAATAATAATAATAAAAATAAATAACTGCCAAGAACATTGGTGGAGTATATGGTTGTGTTGTTGTTGCTTACATGTTTGCTAATGCTTCATCAGCAAGCTGTCAATTTACGTCACATTACAACACAGCACAGACACATCATATACACAGCAAATTGTACATACTGTATACATCAGCCCTGAGCTGCCAACAGCACATCTTCACTTCCATACTAACAAGATGACAGCACCAAATCCAGTATGGTTTGACATTTTCACATGTGTAAACATGGATCATTTTGAAAACGATGTCATGTAAATGTGAAACTTCATTAAAATACATCTTTGTCATGTAAACGTAACATAAGTGTGTTCAAAAGTGCATTTGCTTTTGGATCTGTGAATCATTGCAAGTGTGTGCATATTGTATGTGGGAAAGGCAACCATGTTGACAATAGTTCACTTTGGCTACAGGGTTTGTGATATGTGGTTAAGGCCTTTCCTTGAGACCCAATTAGGCCTTCTCTGTGTGGAATCCTATAATAAACTTCTCCCCAATGCTGCCTTATCCAATTGAGATTAATCTGGAAATTTAATTTCCAAATAAGAACCTTGTTTACTCACACAAGCAGCAGAAAATGACCAATGTTCTTGTTTTCTGTTTGTTTCATACAGACTTCAAACCATTCTTCAAACCATTTTCTATGTATTCATTGATTGCCATCTTCTCAGTCCACAAGGCTCATTTCTCCAAACACATCTTTTTACATCAATTTTTTTATTTTCATTGTGTTTGCATTAGATTGCACAGAAAAATGCTTGAGGGGCAGTTTTCATAATGTTTTCAGCCAAAAACTGGAAACTTTTTTGCATTTTGCCTGTTTGTTTACACAACAACACCATTTTTACAGTCACAACACTGTTCTTGTGACTGGAAACAGGTTTCAAAGTGAAAGTTTTGAAAATGCTGCAATTGTCATGTCCATGTAAACTCCCAAAAATGGGCAAATGTTTTCCAATAATATGGACAGATGAATAGGGTATTTGCCGAAGCATACTAATAGGACTTTTAATTTGCCAGCAGCCTGGGTTAATCGTTTCCGGTGAATTGTATGCCAATGCAAAATGGGCGCATTTAAGGTCTGTTTTCTATTTAAAATCAACAATCTCCACTGGCTGAGTGATATTCGATATAAAGTGGGTCTCAGATTGTAGAAGAAGGACTGCATTAAATTACATTTCCCCCCGCCATGTCTTTATAATATGAGCATTTACTTTACCCCAGTATATTCATTGGAGCTTCTGCGCTAGCCTGTTGATTTTGACAGGCGGGTGCGAGCAAACAGCTTTTTGTCTCGTTTTACGCTTGAGCAACTAAATGAACGCCAAAGTCTGTTTAACTGATTATATTTGAATTACATTACAACATTGAGGCTGTAAAAGGAACCTCATTAAATGAAAAAAAATTACAATAACAGGTCACCAGAAGTTTATCAGTATGGGAAACACACTAGCTCGGCATATACCCCATTGTTTACCACAAACAGAGCAATGTGAACTAAGAAAATCACATGGGTAGTTTTGATTTTATGTGTACTTTAAGGGAAGTGTTGATTAAAGAGGAAAAATACAAGAACATTGATGGAGTACATGGGAGTGTTGTTGTTGCTCACATGCTTGCTATTGCTTCATCAGCAAAATGTCGATTTACACTACATTACAACCAACAGCGCAGACTCATCATACACACAGCAAATTCTAGTAACACTTCAGTTTAGGTCACAATTCACGATATTAACTACTGGCTTATTAACTGCCTATTATTAAGACACTAACTGTTGAATAGTAGTTATAATATATGATCTTATTATTCATCCCTAATCCCGCCTAATACTGTACCTAAACCCAACCACTACCTATTAATAAACAGCTATTAAGTAGTTTATTAAGCTAGTATTGTTAGTTAATTGTTTGTTAATACCATGAATTATGACCTAAAGTGTTACGCAAAATCTATAGGCTGTATACATGGATCATTTTGAAAATACTGTAGATGTAAAACTTCATTAAAATGCCAAGGAAAAACTGTTTATTTTCTGCCTACATCTTTGTCGTGTACACGTAACCTGCAGTAAGTGTGTTTAAACATGCAATTGCTTTTGGATCTATGAATCATTAATGCTGCTGTTTACCTCTTTCTCCTGTGCAAACATGTGGTTTGTGTTAATATTTATCTATGAATGAGTTGAGATGTAAGTGCAACCATGTTGACAATAGTTCAGCTTGTCTGCGGGGTTTGTGATATATGGTTATGGTCGTTCCTTGAGAGCCAATTAGAATTCTTCTGTGTGGAATCCCATAATGCACTTCTCTCCAGAGCTGCCTCATCCAATCAAACTGGAAACTGAATTTTCAATAAGAGCCTTATTTACTCACACAAGCAGCAGAAAATGACTAATGTTCTTGTCTTCTGTTTGTTTCATACAGACTTCAAACCATTTTCTATGGATCCATTGATCGTCATCTTCTCAGTCCACAAGGCTCATTTCTGCAAGCACATCTGAGTCCGGCAAGCAGGTAAGTTTAATTTTTATTGTCGAATCAGAGACTTTTTGAGTTCAGACCCCTTAATCGCACTGCAGCTTTAATCTGCCTTTGTGATTTACAAAAGAGAGGGTGAGAAGAGAGCAGAGGATCTGCTGTTATGCAGAATCAAGCACAGGCTTTTATCCTTTCAAACGCAGGCAACAATTGCAAGACAGTCTGACCTCTTTTCTGATGCTGATTAGCGTGGTATTTGAGCTGACATTAAACATGGTGCTGTAATTATGCTAAAAGGTAACCAAGAGGTAAATGCACGGAAAAGAGACTTGTGGTTCTCTGATATACTTTGGTCAAGTGAAGCAGTAGAGTATACAGATATGCAGCGGTTTTCGAGATGAGGAATTAGCGGTATAGAGTAAGAAATCTCTATCTGAAATAGCCATTAAGTTTTCCATAAAAGCAGTTTTGTGAGATCTTGTCTCGCCGCATTATTTCAAAACTTTGCATCAAGTTCAACGGTGCAGTAAATGGCTCAATACCCGGAGCAATTCATTAGCAGTAAATGTGCAGTTATAGCCCGCATTTTAAAGGAAGATGCTGAAATAATCTAGTTTATGCTGTGCACTTAAAAAAGAAATATGAACTTTAACAGAATGACTGTAACTTGTGCTGTTTTCTTTTTTAAAAAAGCCCTGTAGCAATGCTAAGAAATGAAAATCGTAGAATTATAGAAATAAAAAGTGCTTAGGAAGCTTAGTACTTTAGTGGTACACTTCCTTCGTGTGTGCATGTATGATATATAAATAAATAAATAAATAAATACAGGAAAATAAACCATGCAGTTCACATAATAATAACATTAATATAATTAGTTAGGATAATTAGCATAGCTGGTTTTGGATTGGATGAAAATTGTGTTATATTATATCATATTAGGCAACAGCGTTTGGAATGCAGCTTCTCTGCACTGTTTAAAGAAACTTTTTAAGACTCAAAATTTAAGCATTGCTTTTAACATTATTGATGATTATTTTTGTTAAATTAATATTCTATCTTATGGTTCATATTTTTATTGTTTTGTTGTATCTTTTTATTGTTGTGCTATTGTTAGTATTTTGCCTTGTAGTGTTTTGAGTCTAAGAAAAGCACATTACAAATAAAAGTATAATTTTTATTATTATTATTATTATTGTTGTTGTTGTTGTTGTGGTTGTTGTTGTTGTTATTATTATTATATAACTTTATAGCATATTATATAACATTGTTAGTATTAATATATTAAATTATATTAAATATTAATATTAGTGCTGATCAAAAATGTATTGTGTTTAATTGCATCCAAAATAAAAGTTTTGATGTTTTTGATATGTGTATATTAATTATTATTATGTATTATTAATTATGTTAATGTGATACACACATACATAGAAAAAAAACTATACAAAACGTGTTTTTGCATACATATTTAAATTGATATGTAATTTGTACATATGTTTTTTATATTTAAATATTAATGAACATTTTCACACCACACACATAAATTACGTCAAAACTATTTTTGGGATTTTGGATGATTAATCGCAATTAATTTTTGCCCAGCACCAAGTTATATTAAATATTAATAAGTAATATTAAAATATTTAGTTAAATAACTAATATAAAATAAACGAAAAGAGGAGTCAGGACCAAATGGGACAGTCAATAGAGCTTAACCGAGCTCCATGTCAAGGCGATCGCTCTGATTCAGAATACCAGTCTCCTAAGAGCACACCAAACAAGGGCTGTTTCACAATATGCATTCTTCAGCGTTCTTGCGTCCTCGTGTTCTCATGTGATCATTAACTGGCAAAGTTAGGTTCCAAAACTCAAGAACTCATGAACGGAGGGTGCGTGAAAGTTCCCAGATGTGTTCTTAACTTCAATGACTCATCGATGCAGACTTGAGCGCAGAACTCATTCTAGAAGTCCTAGAAGTCATTGCGACTAAATAAAGGAGGTGGGAGGCGCAGCATTTTATATAGATTTGTTATTAAAGTTCAGAGATATAACTTACTTATCTCAGGAGTTACCCTAAATGAGACTCTGAAAGTAAACATTGACATCAAAATCCTTATAGAGGCATACACACATTAAGGGTATTTATTTGCTGAAATTCGTATTAAAATCTGTTTTATTTGCATTGTGCAGCGTATATTTGTTAGGTTTTTGTGCACGTTATATATATAGAAAAGGGGGGAAAACAATAAGTTGATGTATGCATGCTGTAATGTTAAAATGTAAATGTTTAAATTAAGCTCATGTGACCATCGGGAAAAACGCAGCATCTCATTTCCCACAGGATGCGTTTTTCCGAGGTGACCTGGCAAGACCGGTCTCCACAAGAACCTAACTCCGTTCTCTGCATTCTTGGAATTGAGAAACAGCCATGCACTTACCACCGATAGGCTGGGACACCACAAACACACAGTCATTAGGCTGGAACACCACACACACACTTTCACAGCCCATAGGCTAGGATGTCACAATATATTAATTGTTAATTAAAATATTTGTTAAATAAAACTGATGATTTCTCAGCAGCAATAATTTGTATAACTTTCATGCATTTATTATTATACAAAGCATGATAGTTGACACTGCATTAACACTACAAAACTACAATGTAACACTTACCAAATCTAAAAGTAAAACCTGAATGTTAGATACTGTAAGAGCATATGCATAATGCATGTTCTGTAAGTGCTCTAAACTTGAGCATCAAAAACTTTTTTTAGTTTGAATAGACCTCACGCTTCAGAACATTATCAGTCCATTTTCTTGAGCTGCATAATTCCACTTTGCTTTTGGTGAACAAAGACAGATTTCAAAACATGCATACATGCATACAGCAGGCTGCAAACGAGAGCGAGCTGTGTTGGGCTAATGAATGATGGGCACTTGAAACTGTGAAGAACGGTGGTACAGATGTACAGCTGGCAGAGGCAAACACTGATGTGAGTGAACATTAAAGATTCATTCAAACAGCTGTTCCTTATCCAGGACAGCACGATCCTCCACCATGTGCTCTGATTCTGAAGCTGAATAGTACGATGAAAACTTGACTAAAGCTTAGGCTTTTACATAAACATTGAACTCGCTGTCTTCAGTGATAGAAGAATGTATCTCATGCTGAAAAGGCCAAATCCATTTGTCGTGATCATACATTAGTACTATTTGTTGTTCACTTTGGGGATCTTGAAATATAAAACATACTTGTCTCCATTAGTATGTCTCTACTCTGTACTGTTTGGCCTTGTTCTGTTTAGTAGTTTAATTATTTTGTCAGATATTCGTATTGGAGTCTAATTCCAATGGCTCTTTAATTATCATTGTGTAATGCTAACAATTCCAAGGGAGTCTCAAGTCTGTTGCACTGTTGTAAGTGCTCAAGAGCGTTATTAGTCTAGTTTTAATATAACCAGTGAGTATCGTTTGCCTTAGGTAAGTGGTCTTGGCCTCATTTAGGTAAGTGAAGGACATTTAACATGTTTCATGATTACTACAGAATCTCAGATAGTTGTCAGTGGGAGAAAAGCGGAAGTACTGAGGCAGCATTGAAAACTTGACAATCTAGCAATCAATTTTATTTATATAGTAGTTTTAATGTGGTTAATACATTTTTATTGAATAATGACTCCGTATTTTTGTTAATTGAACATCATTTTATACCTCTTTCACTTTGGCTAAACAGTTGAGAAATTCCTCAAAACATCACTAAAAATGGTTCAACTGGTTTGGACAGGCTACATAATTTGCTATCTCTAGAAAAGTAAATAGGGCTACATTTTTGTTGAGTAAATGACAAAATATCCATTTAAACATGCTTATTTGACACAGGGGACTGTTCCAGAAATCAAGCTTAGAGTAAAGCCAGGCTTATTTGGTAAGTCAGGTTTATTAATGGCAGATTTGGTTTTATAAATCAAATTTATGATAGTTCAAACTCAGTTACTCTGGCAACTTATACTGGGAAACTAGCCTAGTTCAGGACAGTCTTAACTTCAAAATCGAAATAATGTTATCATTCGCCTGCTGTAACTTGATGCCATGTTAATTCACTTAACTTCTTAATAATGAATAAAACTTTATAGTCACTTAATAGTTCACTTATAGTAACTATATATACACCAAACATGTTTATGAATAGAATAATAATACATGTAAATTCATATAAGTTATTTCAAATACAAACTACAGCTTTTCAACTATTTTTTTTATGTTTCTGTTGATTTTTATTACTGTTTATAAAAATTGTACATGTTAATTTGGGTGTACTAGTTTTTGCACTTTATTTTTTGTTAAATTAGTTCAAAATTTCGCTCTTATATATATATATATATATATATATATATATATATATATATATATATATATATATATATATATATATATAATATCAAGAAAGCTCTGACTGATATAAAGAAGTAGGCTAAATTTCTTAAAGAATGACTTTAAAGCATCAAACCCTGAGTGGAATAATCGAAAGATGGATCTGGGCCAAGCAGTAGCCTCGCTTTAATATAAAGATATTTTCACATGTCATTATTTTAAACATAATGTGCTTACATAGCACATTTTGATTGTTACAGTAAGCCTACAATGCATAAAACTTTTCCTTGCAACCAACAATTGCCAGTAAGCGCGGATTCTCTCTTCCTACAATTTCAATTTATTGTTGCAAAAATTTTATTTAACATTAATAGGCGTACGTAAATTATGGCCTATATTTTAAAATCTGCAATTTTCTGTCAGCTTTCACTCTTGCTTTGTTGCAAGCCGTGCTGTTGTTTTTTAAATTACTATATTTGAATAAAAAAAATAAACTCGGCTCACTCGTCGTGAACATAGCTGTCATTCATTTCAGAGCTATTTCTTTCATTGTAGTTGCCATGGTAGCATACAATATAATCGATGTGTTCAGCCTTCAGGGTTTTATGACAGTAACGTGCACGAGCAGTTATGTAGATTATTTAAACTGAACTCAGAATAGTTAG